GAGAAAACTAGAGAGATAAGACAGATAGATAGATGAGAAAGAGAGTGAGATTGGAGAAAAGAATGAGGGAGAGGGAGAGGAGAGGGAGAGGGAGGGAGGGAGAGAGGGAGGAGAGGGAGGGAGGGAGGAGGGAGAGAGGAGAGAGAGAGAGAGAGAGAGAGAGAGAGAGAGAGAGAGAGAGAGAGAGAGAGAGAGAAGAGAGAGAGAGAGAGAGAGAGAGAGAGAGAGATAGAGAGATAGAGAGATAGAGAGATAGAGAGAGAGAGAGAGTGCAGAAAGAAAAAATAAAGACAAAGACAAAGACAAAGAGCCCCGCTGAATAAAGTACACCAACATGCCGACGCCACACGACCTACCCGACTCCGAGCACCGACGTCTGTCCCGCCGCCCTTGTCCTCTTACCTCGTCGCCTTCAGAAAATCGTTGGAAGCAGGTATATGAAACCTTGCGCCATCGCCACCCATCCCTGTCTCACTTATTCTAATCTCTTCCTACTTGATTCTCCTTCTACTGTTGTTCATACTAGACATATTTTGCATTTTAATTGTCCTCTCCGTATAGGGGGACGGGGACTCGGACGGGACGGTTCAATGACTTCATGGCTAGGCCGTTGTAGGGTCCTTCTCCTCCCCCATCCCCCTCCCTCCCACCCTAACCCACACCCCAACACATGTAACGCGGACCCCAAAACACGCCAGACTCGACCCCCCCCCCACACACGCATCCTCCTCCTCTCCCCTACCACTTACCCTCCCCTCTCCCCTCACTCGGGTATCCTGGCGTGACATACTATCTGGAGGTATCGACGGAAGAGAAACGCCGGAATAGCTGTAATATTTGTTTTTTTTCCTATCAAAAATCTGCGCGTTCCTATCTGCCTCTCTCACAGACCTGCTTGGATGTCTGTCTTAATCGTCTACCTTTCTTGTAAATCTGTGTCTTTCGGTCTTTTTTCATAGGCCTATGCATGTCTTTTTTTTTTCTTTAGGTTTCTCTACCTGTCCCTCTACCACCCTGCACCCCCTCCTCCCCCATATGCATCTAAATATTCAAATCCCACCTCTCTCTCTCTCTCTCTCTCTCTCTCGGCCCGTTGATTTGCAAGCCACTAAAAATATTGCATGACGGTAACATAACAAGAACGTGTACTCTTATATATATAGTGTGGCGCGGCGAATGACGGTGTGACGTGATGGCGAGAGTAACCGAGTAATTTGACAGATAATGAGTGTTGTTTTCGCGTGAGAATACCAGATGACTCAAGCATTTTCGCGTTTCATGCCAGGAGAGTAGAGTGATACCACCACCACCACCACCACCACCACCACCACACCACCACCTCCACCTCCACCTCCACCTCCTCCTCCTTCCTCCCTCCCACCCATATCCGTCGGCAGTTTCCTGGCAACCACGTGCCCCTATGTGAGTCAGCCATGATCATCTAGAATTGCAGAGAAGGAGCTTGCCGTGTTGCAGAAGACTGGCCGATCGAGTTCAAGGAAGTTCCTCCCTCCCCCCAATGCCTTCAGAAAACCCGTCCTTCCTCCTTCCTAAAATACACTTGCTGCGTCCGCTATTACCTAGGATCCACCTGGGATAAAAAAAAGCTAGAAAAAAATAAATATATCGACGTAATTTCCCTTTCGCAAATCCTTTATACAAGGGATGAAAAAGAATCGAATGTATTCCACCCCGCAATTAATGGGAGAACAGGTGAAGCGGCAAGGTTGGCAAGCCTGCGAAGTCGTGACGTCATTCTGGCGGCCCGCCAAGACGTGCGCCATTCAATAATAAAAACAGCCACTGCTTTACGTAGCCAGGTAAAAAAAATCAAACGTTTTCGAAAACGCTCCCCCTCTTATCGAAATATAACGTTTGGACAATCGAAAATAACTCCCCTCTCTCATTAAATGCTCCAAGGATAGAAAAATTAGAATTATCTGAACGATGTTCGACCAAATATGGGATGCCTTGAGCCAGGTATGCAGTCTCGCCGCACACTGATTCGCTCTTTTTTCTCTCTCGGTCCATTTCGGAGCCAAAGCGCACCCGCGTCCAACTGAAAGCAGCCTCGCACATCACAGACGAAGGACCATGACAAGAGCGAAGCGTCGAATTAACAAAAGGAGGAAATTAAGCTCGGAAAAAAATAAATCACAGATTAAAACATCCCGCCTCCCTCTTTCAAAAAGTAATGTGGATTTTCCATCTCTTATGCAAGCTCGAGGTTTTCTTGCGCAACGCCCCGATTTCGTAACTGGTCGCAGAGCACGTCGAGACATGGCGTGCTCGGGTCCCTTTTCCGCGTGAAAAGAGGCACTTGAACGCTTTCGTCACCACGTTCCTTTTCATAAACATTAAATCATTCAACCATTTGGTCTTGAATGTAATATGAATCAGATTATGCTTTAAATTCTGGTGGGCGATGTCCTTCGATTATCTCGCGTGGCTTTTGAAGGAAGAAGGGGAAGGTAGGGGGCGAGGGGGTAGAGCAGGGAGATGAGGAAAACAGGAAGATATGAGAGAGGAAACCAAGAGGAAGAAAATGCGAGTAGGAGGAGGCCTCACATGAAGAAAGCAGGAGGAAGAAGAACAAAGTAGTAAGCAAGCTATTATAAAGGAAGTCGAAGCTTCGGCTCCCGTTTCTGCCACTAAGAAAAAAAAGAGGAAAGGAGGCGCTGAAAGGAAGGAGGAAATGGGATGGGATGCAGTGGAACCGTGCCCCCAACACCAAAAAATTACCCACTCCCACCGCAATTACCGTCGACGATCAACCCCCGTAATTCGAAACGCCCAGAGATGAATTCACAACTGTCGCACACTTTGAAAAGTTCGAACCGGCAGCAAATCGGAGCTCTAAAACGAAGCTTCGGTTCGTTCGTCGAAATGTGATCCTTATTCGTTTCCATTCGTCGCTGACTTGAGATGTTTCAAGGTCACTTCTCGAAAACGTTTTGGGATGCTCTCTGGAATATTTGTTCTCCCTCCGCCTTTAGTCTATTCTTTTTTACGCCGTTTTTAATTAGGATTAATGTTCTTAAACGGGGGAAAGAGAAAGAGGAGGAGGAGGAGGAGAAAAGGGGAAAGGAAAGAGGAGGAAAGGGGAGGAGGAGGAAGAGGAAAGGATGAGACGGGGGAGGGAGAGGAGGAGGGGGATGGGGAAGAGGAAGAAGGGGAGGATAGTAGGGGGGAGGGGGGAGGGGGAGGAGGGAGGAGGAGGAGGGAGGAGGAGGAGGAGGAGGAGGAGGAGGAGGAGGAGGAGGAGGAGAGAGGAAGAAGAAGGAGGGGAGGAGAGTAGGGAAAAGGAGGGGAAGGGAAAAGGAGGAGGAGAGGGGGAGGGGGAGGAGGAAGACGACGACGAAGATGAGGAGGAGGAGGGGAGGAGGAGGAGGAGAAGAAGGAGGAGGAGGAGGAGGAGGAGGAGGAGGAGGGGAGGAGGAGGAGGAGGAGGAGGAGGAGGAGGAGGAGGAGGAGACGAAGACGAGGTGGCGGCGGTGACAGCGGCTACGGATAAGGAAGTAAACGGAGGTATGGGGAAAGGGAAGGTGGGGAGAGAGGAAGGAAGGGATGAAGAGAGAAGAGAGTGAATAGAGAGCAGAGGGAAGGGGAAGGGGCAGGGAGAGAGGAAGGAGAAGAATTGGAAAAAAGAGGAAAATAAGGTACGAAAATGTCAGAGAAAAATCATAAGCAATGTGAAAACATTAAAAAGGGAAAGAGTAATGTAAGAAAACAAGACAAAAGCAAAACGAAATGCCATCACGCCTTCCTGAGTATTCCCCTCGCCCTCAGCAGCAGCCTACACTAGACCACGCCCACCGAAGTCCTCAGTCACCCGTTGTTCGGAAATAGTATTTTCCTTGCCCCAAATATGCACAAGGGAAGTGCAATCATTAACATTAGGGAGAGAGATCCTGCACGTTTGGATCTTGCTGACACCATTCCTGAAGGGGCGAGGAATTCGCTTACTTTAAAAGGATTATTTGGTGATTAGTCCCTTCTTAAACCCCCCTCCCTCCTCCCTCCTTCCTCCTTCCTCCTTCCCCCTCCTCCTCCTTTTCCCCCCCACCTCTCCCTCTCCCTCTCCTTCTCTCTCCCTCCCTCCCCCTTCTTCTTCTCCCTTCCCCTCCTCCTGACCCTCCCTCTCCTTCTCCCTCCCACCCCTCCCCTTTCTTCTCCCTCCTAAGACATTCCTTGGCAGATATCATGTGTTTTGCCTACCTGTCTTTTTTTCTTTTTTTTATATGTTCCATTTGTTTTTTTCTTTTTTTTTTCCCTTTTCAAATTCCATTCAACTAAGTAATAGAACTGAATATCAGCCAAATTCCTAGTCTATCAAAGTATTGTGCATTCTTGGCCACAGTAAATTCCCACGTTTATTTCTAGCTCGTGACCTTGTTCCGCGAAACAATAAAACTTGACCTTCTTCTCATTCTAACTCATCTTTTAATCACTTCCATCACTCGTCAGAAATGCCAGCAATGAACAGAATTTGGTCTAAATTTCAAAATTAGTTCGGATTAGACTGCTTAGTTTTATATCCATAAAGACCACCAAAATATCTTAGATATCACCAAGAACCTAATCCAAACTCACGATTCCACTAGTGAATGATGTAACTAATGGTATTCCTTTTGCCGTCTGTATACCCATTAAAATATGGAAATGCCCTTGTGATGCATACGCATAATCTATTCAGCCTTATTTACTCCAAGGGAAGAACAAGAACACCCAATTTGTTCAGCAAGAACATTCTACACAAACTGAATAACAATAGGACGCAAAATACCATGAACCATTTTCAATCGATCTTGGAGCATACAACACTATGGCAAATATACAAAATTCTGTTAATATGGCCTTAAAATTACCAAAAAAAATAAAATTATGTCATCCACATTATATATAAAAAAGTTCTCTCACACTCCAAGAAAGATATAACAGTTCAAGTACCTTCCTCAATAATCAAAAAAACATATAGAAATTGGAGATCAACTTAACCTGTGACTTTTTGCCCCATACTCATCCGGTTACGACGAGGGCCTCGTGAGCTATGGCGCTGGTTGGAGTGGTGGTGATGGTGATTATGGTGATGATTGTGGTGATGGTGAGGTGCGGCAGCAGCGGCGGCAGCGGAGGACCTAGTTGAGTAGGGTGGGGGGCTTCGTGGTGGTTGTGGCGGCCGGTTGCGTTGTTGGTGGTGAGGTTGTTGGAGGCGTTGTCGTGCTGTTGGTTGGTGTCTACTCCACCACTACCACCGTTGTCAAGCTTTTGTGAGGATGCGTTGTTGGTGCTTGCACCGCCCTGGCCGGATCCAGTGCTAGTCTTTCCTCCCTGAAAGAAAAGATGACACTTTTATAATTGAGTGCTACGGGGAGCATTTGTAAAGGGTGAATGCACTGCTTATAACCATTTTCATTTCATCATAAAAAATAATCATACCCTTATGAAAACGATTAATCATATGAAGAAGTGAATAAAATAACTAAATAAAGCTAATAAATAACTCTTGTGATGATGCATAAATTCTCATTCAAATTCAACCTGCAATAATTTAATGTCAGTTAAAGACCACCACCATTTAATGATAGAAAAAAACGTAGATTTCAAATCAGAAACATGTTTGAAAATAGTAACCATGACATTTTTATATTTAAATGGATAATTACCCAGTTGAAGATGAAACCCCTATCAACATCAGAAAAACAATAGATTCAAATAGGAAACATCTTTAAAAAAGTAACCGATACTTCTGTGCCGAAAAAATAAACAGCTAAACTACATACTGAGAAAGAAAAAGATTTGTTAAATTCACTAGTCCTTTTTTCTTTGCAACAAGATATCCAGTTACAATAGGTCTTTACTATCTGAATGCTCAATAATTGCATACTGCAATAGCCTTTTCAGTATCATCATCAAACCTTTGTATGAATTTTACCTCTTCAATTGAATTTTAGATAAGAATAAGCATCATATTGTAAGTATCAATATACATATGCAAGAAAACAATTTTCTTGAAACTTGAAATATCCACAGGATAGAAGTACAAAACCATGTAAAGGCATTAAATATTCCTTCTAAATATATAGTCAAGAGGGAAGCATCAATACTGGGTCACACCTTGATCATCTTTGTCCTAATTTACACTAAGATGCTGTAAAATATTATTCAACTGATCTATGAATTGAAATATTTCAAAAATGAAAATATTACTTGTAGCTAAAAAAGCATTCCACAATGAACTTCTATACAATCTAAAAATACAATATACTCTTTAAATCCTTCCCACAACCACTAAAGCAACAAAGATACATCAGCAAATATCCAACACAAAAAATGCTTGCATAAACACAATATCATCAATAATCAGATCATGTAAACAAAAATCTAATTACATATTCAAAATATCCTAATCCACCTGAAACCCCATTGCTAGTTTCAATTAAGAGAGAAAGAAATTAAGCTGAACTTTCCTGAACACAAGACAGATACCTTCAATACAAGCTCATGAAAGATGCATGGAGAGAACTATTCAAGGTAACAATATAAACCAAGTGTCTAAATTCTGCAACATAACTCAGAATGCACTTAAAATAGCATGTCGAACAAACAAACAATGCCACAAGAAGTAACAAGAAGAATGTATAATCTAAAGTAAAACATGAACATTAAAAAGACATCATAATAGAGGGAAGGCTGTATTCTGTTGCATTTTGTAAAATACAATAACTATATCAACACAATGGAGTCCATAGTCTATACTATATACATCCCAAAATCTGGAGTATTAAGAGATCAAAAAGCCATTTAGATAGATATTACTCTGCACAAAGAGAGCACCAGCTGATATTTTCATCACATGTAAGGATAAACAAAAGGGAATATTAAATCCATTCCCCTTTCATGCTACCACTGATGGAAAGCGCTTGAATATGAAAAAGCGAGAAATGATCAGACAATAAGGCGATTCACAACGAAGCAATTAAAGAGGTGATGAAAAGCTGAATAATTTGGAGGGGATTCACGACTGAAAAGGAGATTAGTGTTCTTATGTATAATTCACTTCAAAGAAAATCTGTGGATGCGCATCTTTATCACCCGTTTCAAAGGACTTTCATCTCAGTGACCAGTTCTCAGCTCAGAGAGAGACACAGGACAAAGACAGCATATTTGACAAAATGAGATCATAATGAGACAAATAAAAAAATAAGAAGAGTAAAGCGTACCCATGAGAAAGTAAAGAGAAAGGGAGGAGGGGAGAACAGAGGGAGGAGGGAGGAGGAGAGAGGAAGGAGAGAGAAGGAAGGAGGAGAGGAAGGAGGGAGGAGAAGAAAAGAGGAGGAGGGAAGGATGACAATGGTGACAATGACAACAACAATGGTGATATAGAGAAGAAGAGGATGAGGAGCAGGAGGAGGGAAAAATGAATAAATAAATAAACAGATAAATATGCATGAATAAACAGGATCACAAGGAAATACTTGTTGAAGGTGAAGTAGACAAAACAAAAAAGATTATCATCTCTAAGTTCTTTAACCGATACTAAAATGAGCATTTACATCTAAGTATACTCTATCTATGGAAAACATTTCTAACAGATCAGTAAAATTAAACCAAAAAAGAGATTTATACCTGTGTAGGATTTATCAAATGCTTTTAAAATAATTGCCTTTCCTTTAAAAATAAAAAGACAATTTTTTTAGATCTATATCAGTCTTATAAGAGAATATCATACATTATCAATCTAAGGCTCTTCGTGGAAATTACAAATTACATTAAATGAAAGAGAGGAAAAGAAAAAAAATCTTTTATAACAATCTATCTGCACATCAAGCAAAATCATAATACCGCTTAACGTGAAAAACAAAAAGTCAGAAACGGAAAGCAAATATAAACAAATGTCTACTTCTTTATCAGTTATAGTTGAAAGCTTTGTTCTATCTGAAATACTAAAATCTGAAAAGAGACTTCAAACAGCAGATCTAAAAGAGCCAATATGAAATGCATTATCTAGATGGCAATTGTAGTATATGAATTACATATACTATTTAAGCAGATATCAATATTAAAAGAGTTAATGAAAAATCTAAACAATCTGTCATTACAGTCAGAACAAATGGCTTGAAAAGCTCAGATTAGTTATGTTTATCTTTGTTTTGCCTTTAAAGACTAGCCAAATATAGCCACTCGGCAACGTAGTCTAAGAGTACATTCCCTTTAAGCTCCCTCTGTAAGTGAACAAATGGATTATTTTTCAATATCTACCATTGGCTTGCCTTCCTAGCTTTGAGGTTTAATATTTTCAGTGATATGTATGGAAAACAGCAGGTTGCACTATCACAAATGAAATCATATATTCTCTAGCTCAACAGACAGTAAAATAACTCATAAAAAATAGGGGGCAACATGTCTCTAGACCTCATAAGCTTTCTCTTGATAAGTTATATATAATAACAATAACAATAATAGCACTTGTAATGATAATGATGATAGTGGTGGTGGCGGTATGGTGATTCACATTAAATACTCAATTATACGGCCTCTACAAACCCTGTCAACATTCCCAAGATACCAACTCAAATATGATTACTTGTTACCCAATATGCCTTGACTTGCACATCCTGGGAAGCTATTTCAAAGCTTATACATCAATAGCACCATTCAAGAGGGACCAGTTTTGCTCTTTTTTCTTACTACAATGAAAATAATAACTAATAAAAAATGACAAAACCATATACAAAAAGGCAACGAACTATAAACGAACATTATTTCCTGATTATCATTAAAAAAATATGATAAAAGAGCTGATTCATGTGCAAGTCACTTCAAATAAAATCAATTAAATTACCTGAATTTATACAAATTTACTCTGTTTCTCATTTCTTAATTTACAGGCAGGAAAGCACAGGAAAATTAAACATTCTGTGTGTAATTTACTTCTAAACATCCAACAGAGCATCTTCTTATAAAGATTTAAAATGTCTGACATGTATTTCTCTAATTAGACAATTACAAACAACTGTCTGAATTTTTTCTCTTTATTTTATTACTTCTGACCTTGCATTTAGTGCTTCCTTACAGTGAAAGTTACTCTCTAACTGTATGTGGTAAAACTCCATGTTGTGTGTGAATAGATCACAAACATTATTATTCAGATTTGATAATTTTGAGGATATTAGTCAAGTATAATGTTATGATACTTATGTACATACATACAACACACATTATATAATATAATATATATATATATTATTATATATATATATATATATATATATACATATATATAATATATAATATATACATATACAAATGCATATGCATAAACATGCATATACACATAAATTATTTGTAATACAACTTTATATAATAGACATACATATTATATACATACATAAAAGAGATAGATAGATAGATAGACAGATAGACAGAGAGACAAATAGACAGACACACAGAGACAGACAGACAGATAGACAGATAGAGATATTCATGTTCTCAATTATCTCTTACTGACACTATATGCAATCTAATCCTATTCAGATGCTAAAACAACTAAAGCAAACAGAAATCAACAAAATCTCACCTATGCTTAGTGTTGTGGTGGTGCGTGTGAAGAGGCCGAGTGTGATGTCTCCTGGTCTGCCCACAGATGCTGCAGACGCGGAAGACTGTTGGGTGGCGTAGCGGGGCGATCGCCTGACACCTACTGCTGCTCCTCCTGCTGCGCTGCTGCCGCTGCTGCTGCTGCCGCTGAGCCCCCACCGCCACCACTCCCACACCGCTTACCACCGTACCTGCAATTGCAAATGCCATTAGTAACTCTTGATACAACCTGACAGTTTCTTTCTATATCACAATAATACCTTTCTGATAATCTTGGAAGAATTCCCAAAGAACTAATGCTAACATTGCCAAAATACAAAAATATTTGAACACTTTAGACATAAAAAAAAAACAGTGATCAAAATGTTATCATCTAAATTTCTAAAGAGCCTACATCCCTATATCAGTAAAAAATATCTGATTTGAAAATCTCATTCCTAGAATTTAATAAAGCATGAAAGCAGTAAACAGGTTCTGTTACTAAAGCAATGAGTAAAAGAATTGGACAACACTGCCAACACATATTTTCCTATTAGTATTACTGTAATGAATCGAAATCATAACTGCTGCTTTGCATATCATGACTTGCACACAGAAAATCCATATTGAAAAAACCTAAAATTACAAATAGCATTTATACACGATTTAAGCCAGTACCTTCCCGTATCCCACCAGAGCTGGCCCAAGGAACCAGGCCCTCTCCGAGCCTGGCAAGGGGCAACTGGGTATGGCTGTGTTTGCGATGGTAATGGAGGTCCAGCAACCACAGGACAGGTAAAGGGTTGTATAATGAGGGTAAAGATGACCCACTCCTGCAGGAAGGGATTCATGCCAAAGCTCAGTCACACCCAACACTGGATGACTGATCCTCTCATATGAGTACTCCAATTTTCCTTTGCGAGAAGGCACTTTCTGCATTTTGCCTTCATTTAATACAATTTTTTTATTTATGTATCAACTGGTATGCATCTTTCTATAAATAGTTCTCAAAATGCCACATTCAAACTTCTATCCTGTTACATTGTTTGCACTGAAGATAATTAATAAGTCATCATCTGCAATGGAATCCACAAGCCTTAAATGTGGATCATTTTCCATTCCAATAATTCCAATAACATTCCACTTCAATGTTTTTATATCTTTTATTGTGTACACTCCCCCCCCTTCACCCCTCCCTCTCTCAGCATAAATTTGCCTCTACTTTCACATTCAAAACATTTTGGGGTGCCTAAAATAGTAGGAATGCACTGATGTGGAAGAGGGAGTGGGGTAGGAAGGAGGAGGGAGAAAGGGAGAAAAAGATGGAGGGAAGTTGGGTGAGGAGAGGAGGAGGATGATAGGGAGGGTGGAGGGAGGGAGGGAGGGAGGGAGGGAGGGGGAGGGAGGGAGGGGGGAGGGGAGAGGGAGAGGGAGAGGAGAGAGAAGAGAGAGAGAGAGGAGAGAGAGAGAGAGAGAGAGAGAGAGAGAGAGAGAGAGAGGAGAGAGAGGAGAGAGAGAGAGAGAGAAGAGAGAGTGAGAGGAGAGAGAGTGAGTGAGAGGAGAGAGAGAGTGAGTGAGAGGAGAGAGAGAGTGAGTGAGAGAAGGAGAGAGTGGTCGAGAGAGAGAGAGCGAAGTGAGAGGAGAGGAGAGAGAGGTGTGAGAGGAGAGAGAGAGTGAGAGGAGAAGAGGAGAAGAGCGTGAGAGGAGAAGAGAGAGAGTGAGAGAAGGAGAAGAGAGAGAGTGAGAGGCGAGAGAGAGGAGAAGAGTGAGCGAGGAGAGAGAGTTGAGAGGAGAAGAGAGAGTGAAGGATGAGAGAGAGTGAGAGAG